GGGATAATGGGAGGTATTGGGAAAAGCTCGGGACTCGGGAATCAGAGGCCTGGGTTCTAATTCCGCCCCTACCACTGACTAGCTATGATCTTGAGCCAGCTCTGTTTAGGTAGGAATCAGTTGCCTCCTCTGTTAAATGAAGGGGCAAGGCGAGGGGGGCAGAGATCGTCCATAAAGTCCCTCCCCAGCAAGGTCCAGAGGTCTCTGGGACTCTAGACAAGGAAAGGCTGAGGCAGTTTCTAAGTTAATAATGTACTGAGTCAGGCAGGGTAGTCTCTGTCTCTAGAATGGAATGAAAAGTATCAGGAAGGAAGGATTCATAAGTTAGAAGAAAATTCCTTATGGTAAGAGGCATACACCTGCATTGGGAGAGGGAGTTTCCTTATATGAGAGTTCCTTATACCAATGAAATCACAAGTCCAGTCTCTGGTCCTAAAAAGTACTTGTAGAATTGTCCACACTGGAAATCTCCTAGCAGGAGTCCATAACCTTCTTGCCAATTTGGGTGGCATTAATTACCACCCATCTGGGCATAAAGCCATCCTTACTCAGCAGAGTGGAAGGTACCTGGCCCTCAGCTTCCATTCTAGTGTGTGGAACCTTGTTCCAGGCCCTAGGTCAGGGGCTCTTTCCTATTTGTGCATCATGAACCCCTCATTGGCCATCTAGTGAAGCCTACAAACTTCTAAGAATAATGTTTTTAAATACATAAAACAAAAGACATAGGACTACAAAGGAAACCTATAGACCCCTTCTAAGAATAAATATTTTTAAACACACAAAGTAAAATATATCATATTACAAGGGAAATCAATTGTATTAAAACACAGTTTTCAAAATGATGCTTTTAAAAGTCTAAATTCGTGGACTCCTGGTTAAGAATCCCTAGAGGGCCTCCTGTTATGTAAATCACTTTAACCTGGGGTGGGGGGTGGGGGTGAAGGCATCCAAATGACTTTTGTGTACCAACTCTGGGGTCCTTTGGTCTCAGGGGTGAGGCCCTAGTGTGCATGAGAAACCACATTAACTCAAGTCAGAGGACTGGGATTCACAATCCTCCTCTGAAGCTTACTTCTTGCTTTGGCAATTCACTTAAACTCCCTGGGCCTCAGTTTCCTCATCTGTAAAATGAAGGGATTGGATTATATGGCCAGTGAAATCCGTTCCAGCTCCACATGGATCATTCTGTAACTGTCTCCTCCTCTCCTTCCATGTCTGCCACATCCTTTTTCAAAACAGAAGCATGCCTGGGCTTGTCAGAATTGTCAGCTGGATATCTGGAGAGAGAGAGAGAGATACAAAGTCCAGTCTTTGGACAGAGAGAGACACAAAGTTCCGCCTTGCCCACCTACCATGAGGAGGCAGCACAGTATAGTGGAAAGAGCCCCAGACTGGGACTCATGAGACTTCCTGGGCCTCAGTTTCCTCATCTGTAAAAAATGAGGAGATTGGAATAAATGACTTATAAGATCTTTTCTCATTTCATCTCTGTCTCCTGGCTTCTGTCTGGGGAGGGAGGGGGTGTTTCAGCACTCTTCCCCCTCACCCTCAGGCACACACTCTGCTAATGCCTTACCTCCCTTTACACTGTCTCTAGCTAGCATGTACATAGTTGCTTAAGTGTTGTCCCCGTTGAGACTGTGAGCTCCGTGAAGGTAAGAACCTTGCTTTTGCCTTTTTTTTCTTTTGTATCTCCAGTGCTTAACCTTGTACATAATAGGCATTTCTATGCTCTAGCTTCTAGCTCTAGCCTCATGATCCCTTCTCAGAAAGGACAGTCTTTATCTCCCAGACCTTTAGGCCTAGGCTTCCCTTCTCTAGGACAAACACAAATAGACCTTGGTTCGTAATAATGAGGTTTATGATAATGATGCCTTATCCTAGTTGCACACAGATTCCAGATGTCTTTTTTCTTTGCTTCTGTTAGCTTCAGAGTCTGCAGATCTTAGGGCTTGGTCCAAGGAGGACTTTTATTCATGAAATCTCCCCAACTGGCAGATGAAGTCACCACGGTCACCGATCAAGACCTGAAAAGGGACTTCCTCCATTCCCCCTACCACCCTTCCATGGGAGACCAGAGCCTTCCAGGCTCTAATAAAAGGGTCCTTATTTTATATCCAGCTGGTTTTTGGAAGTTTTTATTTTTTTCAATTGATGAGCATGTATTTGCTCTCCCTCCCCTCCCTCCTCATTGGTGGAAAATGCCACCTTGTAACAAATAATAATAACTCTCATTTATATAGCACCTGTTATGTACCAGGTATGGTACTAAGTGCTTTCTAATTATTATTTAACTTGATCCTCACAACAACCCTGGGAGGTAGGTGCTATTATTATCCCTATTTCATAGATGAGGAAACTGAGGCAAACTGAGGTTATGTGACTTGCCCTGGGTTACCCAGCTTGTAGAGCAGCTAGGTGGCACAGTGGATAGAGTGCTGGGCCTGGAGACAGGAAAACCTGAGTTCAAATGTGGCCTCAGACACTTACCAGCTGTGTGACCCTGGCCCAATGAACTATCCAGTATACCACCTTAGCTGCCCTTGATAAATAAGCGTAGTCAAGAAGAACATTCTCATGTTGGTCATGTCCAAAAAAATATATCTCATTCTGCATCTTGAGTTCATCACCTCGCTGTCAGGAGATATGCAGCACTCCACAGAACAAATCCCCTGAATAAAAGGATTTGTTTTGTAAAACTTGGACTCAGACAAAAGGCCGTGCCCAAGGACCTAGAGGGCCACAGGTTCCCCACCTGTAGCATCATCAGTCCCCTGGAATCCTGATTGGTCACTGCATTGACCTGAGTTCCTAAGTCTTTCAAAATCATTTGTCTTTACCATAAATTATTCTTTTGATGCTGCTTTATGTCAGTTCCTATGAATCTTCTCAGGTTTCAAAGAAACCATTCCTTTAGGTATTTCTTATTTATTTTATTTTTGAGAAAGATGGGGAGGAAAATGGGGAGCTGGGCCACCTTTTGCTTGTGAAACACTCCTTACATCCTCATTCTTCTGCTCCTAGCACCCACATATCACCCCAGGTTTACAGAGGATGGCAGGATTGGAGGTTTGGGATTTCAAAGTTTGTGGGGCTGGACAGTTTCAGGGAAAAAAAAATTTAGGCAGGTTTTAGGTGGTGAGAGGAAGCTGGACTGAAAAGCAGAATCCCTGGTTTCCTCCCAAACCAGCCCCAAGGCAGAGGGGAAAATGAAGGGAAGCTGAAAGACCCTTATCTCTGCTTGGCTACTTCATGCTAAATTCACCCTGGGCTGGAAGGTGGTTGAAGGTCTGTGTGTATGGGAATGTGTGGGGGGGTGTCTATGTGTGTGTTTGGCCTAGGTCAGGAGGAGTGAGCTGTCTGAGCCCCTCCTACCCCTCTGGAGCCCATCCTTCCTGGAATGATCCCCGTGTGGCCAGTGTGGCACAGGTCCATACGTGCCACTGGGCACGTGAGACATAGCTGTGGGGAGCCAACACTTTCTAAGTCATTCCTCACCTCACAGATGGGCCCGTATGACTCATGGCAGCTTCAACTCAGCCTGTCAGCCCCATGATGAAAAATATTTGCAAAATATATGCCCTGGTTCAGTGACCTCAGAGTGAATGATGGCACACCTGCCCTAAGGCAGAGGGCTGGCCCACATCCTCTTAAAAGCAACATCTAGCTCTGCTGTTCTAATGCATTGAAAAGGCCTGTGAGCACTGGATTTGAAATCAGAGGACCTGGATTCAAATCCTGGTGGCTTGTTAGTTATATGACCTTGGCCAAGACATTTCACTTTTCTAGGCCTCAACTTCTTGTTTGGTTCAAATAAGGGAGTTGGACTGGATTTCTAAGGTACTTAACCAGATTTAAACCTAAAACCAATCAATCCACCCACAAACATTTGCTTTAGTGCCTGTGATATGCCAGGGGCTGGAGATATAAAGATGAAAATGGAATAAGGCCAGCCTTCAAACAGCTTACATTCTGTGGTGGGAGGGGAAGATAACATATACATATATTAAGTAGGTGCAGGAAAAAAAGAAGGTCTTTGGTGGTGTCGAAGGGGAAGATCAGGAAAGGCTTCGTGGAGAAGAAGGTACAGCCTGAGCTGAGTTTTGAATAGTGCCCAGAAAGGGACGGAATCAAGATACCAGATGACCCATTTACCTGTAAATACGAGCTGGAGCTCCATATCCCTATGAGTTAAACTGAGCCCTCCCCTCACCAAAACAAACCAAAAGAAAACCTAGCCCAGCTTCCCATCCCTAACCCCTCAACCCCAAAACAAAACCTCCCAATCTTCAAACTCTTTTGCCCTAAATTCACCCCAGCCTTTCCCACCCTACAACATGCTATGGGTTAAGATAGACAAGAAACTTGCTGGCCCCACAATCTTGAACTTGAAATTGAAAGATCTGGGTTCAGATCCTGACTGTGCTATTCACCATCTGTGTGACCTAAGGAAAGTCATTTCCCTTTCCTGGCCCTCACTGTCCTGGTCAGAAAAGGAATTGGAATAGATGATAATTTCTAAGGTTTCTTTTTGACCCTAAAATCTAGGGCAGCTAGGTGGTGCAGTGGATGGAGCCCTGGGCTTGGAATCAGGAAGATTCAAATCCAACCTCAAACCCTTACTAACTGTGTGATCCCGGGCAAGTCTCTTAACCCTGTTTGCCTCAGTTTCTTCATCTGTAAAATGAGCTGGAGAAGGGAATGGCAAACCACTCTAGGATCTTTGCCAAGAAAACTCCAAATGGGGTCACGAAGAACCAGACACAACTGAAATGACTCAACAAGAAAAAAGGAGCAAGGAACAAACAGGGATGTGGTACAGACAGGGAGTCAGAAGACTGTGTTTTTTGCCTTTCTTTTATTTTTATTTCTTTTATTTTTTAAATTTTTAAAGTTTTTTTTTTAAAAAAATTTATTTTAATTTTATTTTTTTTGCCTTTCTTTTCTCCACACCCTTACACCTTTGAATTTCCAACCTGGAGGGCATCAAGATGCTGGGAGGGGATTTCTTCCTTCCCCACCCAAGCAACATAAAAATGGCCACTCACAGAAGGAACACACACACACAGGCCCAGGCTTAACCAGGCAAGTCTGAGAGGGGAGTTTCTGGACCTCCAGTTTCTGGTTTTCGTCTTCCAGTTTTCTTTTCTGGGAACGAGTCACAGACTAGTGTGCTGAGCCAGGATGTTTCCAGCCTTGGGGGAATTACTTCATGAGTGATCGATCTACATTTGAGATACCCTGCATGTGAGAATCTCTGACATAGGACTGCCCTAGGGAGATTTCCTTAAGTGATAATTGAAGGAGGACTGGCCTGCAGCTGCAGCGGTAAAAGCCATGCCAAGAGGGGCCAAGAGATCCATGGACTTCACCATTCTCTCCAGATATTGTTGTGAGTTCTAGGTGGTGAATGGGAAATATCTGTTCAGCAGTGCTTTAAAGACTTGGGGTGGGGGGGAATGGTTGCAGGGACAGGATGGGGAAGGCTAATCATTCTAATGATTATACTGGAGTATTTGATATTTCTGTACTTGTTATAAGCTCTGGAAGAGTCTTTTGTGTCATTCATTTTCTGTGGTGAGTGAAATAAAAGCTCTCTGGGGGTGGAGATAGGGTAGGGTGTGGGGGGGAATGCAGGGAGTCTGAAGACCTAGGTTCTAATGGTGGCCCAGCTCCTATGTGGATCTCTCTGGGCTTCTTTTATAAATTATAGTGGGAGGTGGGAGGGGCGTGGGAAGAGGAGTAGTTGATCCCTTCTGTCTCTTAACAGTCTACATTTCTATGTATGGGTGAAGGGTCGGCTGCACGAGTCTGGCCCCAGCTTGATCTCCATACTGACCACTGGGTGTCACTACTTCTGCGCAAAGACTGTTTGTCAATCACCCAATGAGAGGAAAAACACATGTGTTGCTTTATCTAATTCTGTGCCCAAAGAAACGCTCAGCATCTGTCAGTGCATGGGTCTGGGAGGAAAAATCTCCAAACTTCCCCATGATAGGGGAGAAGAAGCTGGCCCGGGATTTTGGGTTGGCTTCATTCTTTTCTGTTTGGGAAAGCTGACGGGAGTCAAATCCCAGCTCTGTCACTATCTTTGTGACTTCGGGCAAATCACTTAAGCTCTCTGGGACTCAGTTTCCTCATTTGTAAAATGAGTGGTCTGGACTAGTTGGCTTCTAAGGTGAATTCAAGCTCTAAAGCAATGACCCTCTACTCCCAAGATACCTGCCTCCCCCCACCTTACCTGTCCTACCTATAGCTAACTCCCGACACCCCACCCCCAGCCCTTCTCTCCCCCCTTCCCCCACTCCCATGTCCCCAGGATCAGGGTTGTGATGTCGTACTTTCTGCCCAGTGACTTATTAACTCGATAGCTTATTGAACTTGGGGGTGGGAATAGCAAGGGAGAAGGAGACCGGTGCCTCTGTCATGGCAAATAGTATATTCAAAGCTGCCCCTTTCCCCAGATTCGCGGAAGGGACCAGCTCAGAATCAGAACTTTCTGGCTGAACTTTGGTGACAGTGGCTGTCGGAGCCAGAATGTCCCTGGGGGTGGTAAAGAAGGGGGTTAGGGGCTGACTTTTCTTTGGGCCTTGCCAGTGTCCCCAGCTGTTCCAAACAGTGCCCCTTTCCCTGACCATTTGCGTCAGCAAATTGACCCTTGACTTCAGCACCAGGAGCTGGGAGCTCTTGGGAACCAGCAATATGCTTTTTTTTTCTTTTGAGGGGGATTTTGGGGGGAAGGTGGCAGCCACAAGGGCAAATGCAGCCCCAGTCACTAACAGTTCTGTTTCTCTTTACCCCTGATTACCTTTCCCACCCCTTCCCCTTCTCTTTCTCACTCCCCATTCCCAGGCTTTCAAGGAATTATAGGATTGATGGGATTATATTTGGGAAAAGTTGGAAAAAATAGAGAAGGGGAGGCCACCCTAGTGGTTAGCTCATAACAGAAGACAGAACACCTAAGTTCCTTCTAGGCTACAAACGTACCTTCAATCTTCTTCCCTCCCACCCCCATCCTCACCCTCTACCTTACCAGAGGAAAGGGCCATACTTCAAACCAGGGAGGAGCTCCTGGGATCCAGCACCTGTAAATGTGCTGGGGAGTCCAGAGATGAAAGTGCCTGGGATAGAGGTGGGCTCACTCTCACACCTTAGTCTAATTGGACAGTCCTGGTCTTAAAGACCTCATGACTGTTGGATCTGGAAGGGACTTTAGAAAGCTTTTAACCCAACCTATTCATTTTGCATACGTATTGATCGGCCCAGAAAAGTGAAATTACTTGCTCGAGGTCACCCAGCTGGTAAATTGCAGGGTTGGGACTTGAACCCAGGTGACATGAGGTAATCCAGTTACCACTCAGTTACAAATGTGGCACTTTTCCCATATGTTCTTTCTAGTCCTATGGCTCCAGGGCTTGTGGGGACACCAGTGCCATCTCTTTCTAGGGTTAGACAGGCCTGAGGGCTGCCTCTCTCCACTCCAGTCCCTCCTGAGGCCCTCCTCAGCTTCTGGAGTCATCAGGGACCATGTCAGTCCCCCCCCACTCAATAAACTTCAGTGACTCTTTTTTACTTCTGGGATCCAGGATAAAATATAAAATTCTCTGTTTAGCGTTTAAAGCCCTTCACAACCTGACCCCCTTCCTACCTTTCCAATCTTCTCACACCTTACTCCCATCCACATACTTCTTTGTTTCTGGTGGGTCTTTCAGTCATGTCCGACTCTTCTTTTGAGGGGTTAAGTGAGTTGCCCAGGGTCACACAGCCAGTAAGTGTCAAGTGTTTGGTCTGAGGCAGGATTTAAATTCAGGTTCTCCTGACTTCAGGGCCAGCACTCTATTCACTGCACCACCTAGCTGCCCCTACTCTGACTCTTCTTGACCCCATTTGGGGTTTTCTTGGCGAAGATACTAGAGTGGTTTTGCCATTTCCTTCTCCAGCTCATCTGATAGATGAGGAAACTGAGACAGACAGGGTTAAGTGACTTGTCCAGGGTCACATAGCTAGTGTCCAAGGTCAGATTTGAACTCAGGTCTTCCAGACTCTTGGCCCAGCCCTCTATCCACTGAGCTACCTAGCTGCCCCTGTTTGTCTACAATCCAATTACTCAGGCCCACAGAAGACAACCCATCTCCTGACTCTGCCTTTTCACTGGCTGTCCCCCATGTCTGGAATGCCCTTCTTCCACACCTCCCTCTCGTGGCTTCCCTGACTTCTTTCAAGATTTAGCTTAAAGTCCACCTTCTGAGGAGGCCTTTCCCAAGCCCCTCCCCCCACCCTCCATTTTTACTGCTCTTGCATCTACTGTTATGTGCATGGTGGGCCCTATTAGAATTGGGGCTCCTTGAGGGCAGGCACCTTGTTTTTGCCTTTCTTTGAATCCTCAGTAACACAGTAAGCACACAATGAAAGCTTGTATGTTTGTTTGGCTAGGCAATGGGGTTAAGTGACTTGTCCAAGGTCACACAGCTAGTGTTATGTGTCTGAGGCCAGATATGAACTCAGGTCCTCCTGACTTCGGGGCCAGTGCTCTATCCACTACGTCACCTAGCTGCCCTCTCAATGAATGCTTGTTAACTCACTGAGAGGCAGTTTTGGGGACATTAGGGAGGGAGGTCGAACAGTCTGAAGTTTGAGAGAGAACCTCTCCCCCACTCAAACACAGTTGAATCCATGCCCCAAGTTACAGGGGAAAAGGATAAGAACCTGGATTGAGGAGTGAGGAAAGAAGCAAGTCATCTGTCCTTTCTGAGGGAGTCTGGGGGAGGGGTGACTCTTCCCCAAGTGGAAGACTAGGGCTCACCCGCCTGCCCCTGTGTCTGTGTCTGCTCTATATTTGGCTAATACGTTATTGTCATGCCAGCGCCTGTCCCTGCCAGCCCCGAGTCCATGACGTCTCCTCTGGTCTCTGACTATTTTGGCTTCTCCCACCCCCACCCTCCACGCTGAAGCCAACCTCTTTTGGGGTGGGGAGGGAGGCGGGAAGCAGAGGCTGTATTTCCTTCTTTAGGGACTTCAGGTCCCCATGTTATCTCTGAAGGAGGGGCCTGGTTTGAGGGGAGGAGACCCATAAGGGCTAGATGTTCAATGTGAGTTGACTTTCTTCGGTGAGATCCAGCAGACTTCACCTAAAGGGGAAAAGAGAAAGGAAAACCAACTGAAAGATGCCATTCTGTGTTACTGCACCCCAGTCCTCCCCTCCCAAGCATGGAGAGCTGAGCGAGGAGTGAGGCTGCCACAGGGGTCTCTGGATGAGTGTTGGTGTTAAATCTGGTCTCAACCCCTGATATACAGAGTAGGGTTTTGGTCACTAAAATGTACTAAGCTGTAAGTACCTTTGGGGCAGGTCCTGTGCCTCTTTCCCCCTACCCCAAGCATAGATCTGAGAGCTGGAAGGGACCCTAGAAATCATGCTTGAATCTAAACTCTATCACTTTCTCAGTGACCTTGGACAAGTCCCTTAGCCCAGAATAATTCAATTCAGTAAACATTATATTCTGACTATTTACAAGGCATTGTGCTAGGTGATGGGAGATACAAAGATGAAAAAAAACCTAAATGGCCCCTGCCCTCAATAAGCTTACATCTTGCTGGGGAATATTCCATGGGTAACAGTAAATAAATATAAAGTGATTTCAGAAGCAGTTAGGTGACATAGTAGATAGAGCTCTGGGCCTGGAGTCAGGTCTGAGTTCCAATCTAGCCCCAGACATATACTAGCTGTGTGATCCTAGGCAAGTCATTTAATCCTGTTTGCCTCAGTTTCCTCATCTGTCATATGAGCTGGAGAAGAAAATGGCAAACTACTCCAGTATCTTTGCCAAGAAAACACCAAATGGAGTCATGAAGGGTTGGACATGACTGAACAACAATTGAGAAAGAGAGAGAGAGAGAGAGAGAGAGAGAGAGAGAGAGAGAGAGAGAGAGAGAGAGAGAGAGAGAGAGAGAGAGAGAGAGAGAGAGAGAGAGAGAGAGAGAGAGAGAGAGAGAGAGAGAGAGGGAGGGAAGGAAAGAGAGAGGGAGGGGGAGAGAACACATAATTGAGGTCTTTTGTAGGAGATGACCCCTGAACCAGGAAGCTGGGACTCTATGAAGCAGAAGCAGTTTCAAATTTGGAAAAAACTTATGTATAGATAGGGAAGAGAGAGATGAAATGTTTTGTAGGTAATGGGGAATAGCTAGCAAGACAGACTAGAACAAAGAAGTGAGTGAAGGGAAACTATATGAAAAAGGACTGGAAAGGGAAGGAATATTGCTTGGAGATCATTTAATGTCCAATTGTGAGTCTCAGTTTCCTCCTCTGGAAAATGAGTACACTACTAACGTGCCATTGTTGTTGTGATTACACGAATGCAAAATGCTTTGTAACCGTAAAGTACTATTTAATTATTGTTTTAGCAGGTGTTCAATAAGTGTTTGGGAAAGGAATACACGAATGAATGAATGAACCAATGAAAATTCTGTAGTGCAGACGGCGATAGATTTGGAACCTATATTCAATCCCAGCTCTGCTACTCACTACCTCTGAAGCCTTGAGCAGACCACTTTGTTAACTCTCCTGGCCTCAGTTTCCTTATTTGTAAAATGAGGGAGCACTGCTAGCTCTGAACCCTAAGGTCTTAAGTGAATTCTTCTGTCCTGCTCCTTTCTCTTTCCCTTCCCCCACTCCCCCCATGGGGGGATATCCAGGAGTTAAGCAACAACTCACTCCCCCCCCAAAAAAAACCCCCCCTAAAACTCCAGTCAGAGCACCCAGGGTCCAGTCAAAGGCCCCATCACCTCTCAAACCCTGGGGTCACATGTGGAGGAGGAAGCCCCTAAAGGCTTCTGGTTCGTGCCAACCTCCCCCCTCCCCCACACACATCTCCCCATCCATCCCCAGCTGCCTAGTCCCTTTGTCACTGGCCAGAGCTCTTCCCATGAAGTCCTTGCCTCCTTTCCCAGTCTGTCCCTTTCCTCCACCCCCATGGCCAGCTCCCACCTGCTCCTTCCCTCCTCCCCTCCCCCTTCCCGAGAGTTATAGGATCTCTCTGCTGACATCCCCTTTGGCAAACAAGCCGGAAAACCTGCTGACTCTGTCAGACCCTGAGTTCACTGAGTGGTCAGAGTGGTAGCTTGGCTGGGTTGGGGTTGAGGAAGGGGAAGAACAGTTTTGCAGAGTTGAGGAGTCCTAAAGAGTTAACTGTCCCCCTCCCCATTTTCTCCTCTGCCCTGAGAAGTCAGATTCCATCCCCTTGGGCTCCATCCAGGATCAGCCATCTGCCCTTTACTGTGATCTCGGTCAAGTCACTAAATATCTCTGGGCCTCAGTTTCCTTATCTGTAATTAAATGGTGCCCCAAGATCCCTTTCAGCTCTAAAGCTATGCTCTCATTTCTCTGATTTCCAAGGTCCCTTCCAGTTCTAAATCCTCTATGTAGATATGCCCATGAAGGTAAGCTTTCACCTTCCTCTTTTCTACCCATTCCCTCCTTCCCAGAGCAAACAGGGAGGGGTTATTGCTTGAGGAGGACCCACGGATATTGGGAGTGGAATGCCAGGGGGGGGAGGGCTGTTTTTCAGTAATGGAAATCGATTTAGTTTCCCCCATAAACAGGGAAAGTACAGTGACTCCACCTCTCACCTTCTTCCCCTCTTCCCCTCCTTCCTTCCCCCCTCCCCTCCTCCTGCCTCACCCCTTCCCACCTCCCTCCCTCCCTCCCTCCCACGTGGCAGGATCAGCTCCTAAGGTTGCTGCTAGGAGTACTGACTGAATGTCAACATCCGGCTTCCCTTTAGAGGCTGCTCATTGTCAGGCTGTGCCCGGGGGCCAGCTGGGGAGACAGAGGTGTGTTTGTTCTGGAGTGGGTGAGACCATGATAATCACTCCCGATTGCCAGGGCTAGAGCTGAAGGTCAGGAGGTAACTCAAACCAGAGATATAAATAATTGTGCCTGACTGCTGAGAACAGCAACATTTGATAAGCACCCCTCTCCGACCAGGAAGATGGGGATGTATTGATTACCACCAGCCTGCCTTCCATTCTTCCCCCTCTGACTTCAGAAAACCAAACCCCACAGAGGCTGTGAGCTGGGGATGGTTTGTGGGCAGAGAAAAGGGGAGGTAGGCAGAAAGAGGTCAGACAGGCTCCCCTGGGCCACTCCACGAGGCAGAAGTTCCCCACAGGCTCAGGACACTGATATCTCCTCCCCTGCCCTCCCTTCCCCAAGGGAAAAGGCCAAGTGGCTATGAGTTCCCTTCCAGGGCCTTGGTACAAGACCATTGCCCTCTGACAGAGCTGGCCTAGGATCAGAATGCTGGCCTTGGATTTAGGAAGACCTGAGCTCAAACACTTGCAAGCTGTGTGACCCTGGGCAAGTCATTTAACTTTTGCATTTCCGTTTCCTCACTTGCAAAAAAGAGATAATAATAATAGTGCCTACCTTATAGTATTGTGAGGATCAAATGAGATCATATGTCAAGGCTTTGCAAACCTTAAAGTTTTATTTAAATATTAACTGACCAGGACCTCGGAGGCCAGCCAATCCAATTCCTCTATTTTACAGATGAAGACACTGAAGCCTTGGAAGGGACTTGCTGAAGGTCACACAGGTAATAAACTTCAGAGGTGGGATTTGAGTCCAAGTCCAGCCTCCTCTTTCCATTTTTTTTTTTGAGGTAGTCAGGGTTAGGTGACTTGCCCAGGGTCACACAGCTAATAAGTGCCTAAGGCTGCATTTGAACTCAGGTCCTCCTGACTCCAGGGCCAGTGCTCTATCCACTTTGTCACCTAGTTGCCCCCTCTTCTTTCCATTATAAGAGACTGAATCAGGATGGAGGACAGTGGAGGACAAAAGGGGAACGTATGTCCATCTTTCCATGGCCCTGATGGCACCATGGGGAGAGGCTCAAGAAAGAATCCAGATGAGAGAACCGTGGCTGAAATCTCTGCGTGTATCTCCTTGGCATCTGCCTTCTTTTCTTTCCTGAGGGGCATGTGCATAAATGTGTATTGGGGTGGGGGGAGGAAGGCAAGTACCTGGCTAGTTACCAGCATGTCTTAACCCCACTTTTCAAGCTATTGTCCTTCTCCTACTGTTTCCTTCTCTAGAACCTGTCACAGAGATGCCCATGAAAACTCAAGCAGCGGAACCAGAACAGAATAAAGGCTATGATTCTCCATGGATTCCCCTCAGGCCAGTGCTTCTATTTCTTTGGGCCTGCCCCGCCCCCCAATTTCTTTAGTCAGTGATTGGAGTTAGACCCTAATCCCAGAGTCAGGTACAGACTTTAAGGTTCATATTGAAGTTCTCAGGATTTCCATCCCTGGGGCTCAGAGGATCCAAAGTCCCCGTGGTTTCTGAATGGATGTTCCTAGGCCTGGAAAGAATAGTAAACTTGGTCCAAAGACTGTTTTTTTCAAGATTTTCTCAGTCCAGATTGGGGTTCCTCCAAAACAGGTGAGGTTATGCAATTTCTGTGAAATAGAACTGAGCTTTCTGAGGCATGGCTTGTCTTCACATGGCAGAGATTAGTTGGCTCCCAGTACCATCCCCACCCTCCCCTCTCCTCACCCTTCTCCCATTCACATTTACAAGTTGAGACCTGGGGGGGGAGGGGTGTGACTATGTCAGGTTCAAGGTACACGTGCAGCCCTCCGCATTCTTAATCTATAACTCAAGAGGCCCCACCAATGTTTTCACCTTTAACAACCAGAGGATACAATCAGCTTGAATAAAGGCATTTGCTGAAATGGAACAGCCAGACCAGTAGCTACAGAACATTCCTCCCATAAACTTGGGCTACACTCTTCCAAAAATACACACCACCTCAGGGTGAAGAGTGGGGACAAAACAGGAGTCTACTAGTGGGGAAGCATATGGCCAAGACAAGTCTGGCACGTGTGGCCTTACTGGCCCCCAGGCCCTCTCTTTTCTCTGATATACTTATATAAACCCTTCCCACTAGGTGAAACTTCTCTTAGGACAGGTGAATCTGATTGCGCTCTTGGGACAAGATCATCTCCAAAGCTCAATTCTGCTCTTCAGCTAAATTTTCTGCTGGGTCCAGTGTCTCCACAAGTTTTTCCACTAATAAGGAAGAGAAAAGAGAGAGCAATCTCCTCCCCTTTCTCCTGTGATTTTTCTGGAATAGATACAAAGGGAAAAGGCAAAGAGTAATCACTTCTCAGTATTTGTGTTCTTCCATATCTGGCTCTCTTCTCAACTGCCAGAGATGACTCTTCTTGGAACTTGCTCTGCTTTTAAAGGTCACCAGGGGGCATGGATGATCCTCCAGCCAGAAGGTGGCCAGCCCCTTCTCCCACCAAGTAAGCTGAGGAATTTCTCTGCACCTAAAAGGGAGAAACAAAGTGGAAAAGCTTTTTAACACTTTTTCACACTGGTCCTTCCAAGTCTGAAAAGGGTGAGCTCTTTGCAAGGTTCAAATGGGCCACTCAAGGTGTGAGCCACTCAAAATTTCCTATGCTGTACAGACTGTGAATGCAATACCTCAGAAGCTGAAAGGGGCAGAATGTCTGATAACTGACCCTTACATCCTATAATTTCATCAAGTAAATTAGAGGGAGTCAATTAACAGGGATACACCAATAAAACCTTCCTACAGACAGAATAAGGCCCAGAAGGATGATCAAGGTTAAATTTGTCTTCAGCAGCAACTTTTTGCCAACTTCCCCCTCTTCTGTCTTTTTTCTAAGTAGCCAATATTGTAAGGAAATTCCTTCCAGGGAGATAATCTGTCACTCCGGAAAAATAAGTGCACGTACAAATATTTATGTGCAAATTGGAAGCGAGGAGGGCAAAACAGAAAGGAGGTCTTTCCAGATTGTGGTACCAATGGAAAGAATATTTAGAATTGTAAACCTTGGGTTAAAATCTTGGTTCTAGTACTTACTATAGTACTGCTATAAGTATTGGATAAGCGTGGATAAGTCACTTATTCTCTCTGGACTTCGTGTTCCTTATCTTTAAAATTTGGGCATCGGGACCAGAAAATCTTTAAGGCCCCTTCTAACGGCAAATCCTATGATCTGATGAGTTGTGGCTCTTGTAGGGTCCCAGTTCTCATCCATTGCTTTATGTGGGTCTTATCCTTTCCCAAGACATGAAATTAGTTGTGAGTAGCTCAAAAGAAACATGACCTTTGTTCTTCTAGAGCAGGGGTTCTTATCCTAGGGGTCCACAGACCCCAAGAAGATGATGGATAGATTTCAAGGGGCCTATGAAATTGGATGGGGAAAAATTATATCTTTATTTTCACCAACATCTAACTGAAATTTAGAATTTCCCTCAATTATTCAAAAACATTATTCTGAGAAGGGGTTCCTGGGTTTTACTGGACTACTGAAAGGGTCCCTGGGAGTGGGGGAATGAGCATCTATGTAGCACTTACTATGAGTCAGGGACTGTGCTAAGCACTTTATAAAAAGAACTCATTTGGTTCTCACAACAATCCTGAGAATGGGTGCTGTTATTATCCCCATTTAGCAATTGAGAAAACTGAGGCAAACAGGGGTTAAGTGATTTACCTAGGGCCACACAGCTAGAAAGTGTTTGAAGCTATATTTGAACTCAGGTCTTCCTGACTCCAGGCCCAGTGGATAGTGCCCTATCCACTGTACCCCCTAGTTGCCTCTATGACATAAAAAAGGTTAAGAACTTCTAGTCTAGAGGGAAACTGAAGCAAACAGAGGTTAAGACACTCACCCAGAGCCACAGAGCTAGAAAGTGTCTGAGGCTGGATTTGAATTCAGGTCTTTCAGACTATCTACTGTGCCCCCTAGTTGTCTCTAGGACACACAAAAAAGTTAAGAACTCCTAGTCTAGAAGGTTATTTGTGAACTGAAATATTTCCCAATGCTGGAGAGCATTTTGTTCATTCATTCATCCATTCATCCATCCATTCAACAAACATTAATTAAGTACCTACCATGTGCAAAGTACAACGCTAATTAAGCAAGGAGTTCAGTGGATACAAAAGATAAAAGACTATGTAGTCTCTGTCTTCAAGGAGCTATAGAGGAATTTCTCAGCCTGGGTTTCTTGACAGCCCAGGGAGAATCTCACCCACCAGCAGGTCTAAAAGACTGGGCATCAAGTAAAATGAGTCATAGACTGAAAGGAAAAGAAGTGTATAAGCATGCTAAGAAGATTGCTTGCTGGTAGCAGCTTCACTCTTCTAGGGTGCAGATTGGGTTTGTATCGTGTTTTGAGGCCTACTCAGAGTACACAATGGACCAGCAGTATTCTGGGGCACGGGATTGGACCAGTGGCATACAGTCTGTCCTTACAGGAAAGTTGCATGTTGGGGGCAATACTCGTGTGGTAAAGGACAGCCAAAGAGGGCTTTGTGTGGTCAGCCTGAGCAGGTTGGATGTGGTTGAGTCAGCTTTTATTAATCAGAACAGGGAATAATTCAATCAGAGTGTATATGCTGATTGTTTTTCCTCCTCAGAACTTATTATCTAATGGGGGAATATAACACGTACACCAATAATTATGATAAGATGAAATGTAATAGCAAAGGAAGGATCCAGTCAAAGTATTCTAGGAAAATCTCAGGAGGGAGACAATATTTTTATCTAGGGGACTTGGATAAAGGGGGAGGTGGGAGGGTGGGTACCTGGGCTGGGCCCAATTAGAGAAATAAAAAGCCGAGCCTATCTTCATACTTAAAAAAGAGAACCAGACAGTCTGTTTTTAACACTGAGAAATGTGTAGTGTGACACTAATTTAGGGAAACTAGCTTAGGGAAAGGTTATGTAAGAGATGATGTGATAGGTTTCACGGCATGGGAGAAATTATGCAGCACACGCTCAGTTTCTCTGTGAATGGCTCTCTACCGTGGGGGTTGTCTATGGCCAATTCTTCCTCCTCCGCCATCCAACCGCCTACCCCAACATGGCTCCCCTCATTGGTAGGGAACCCAAACTCATTTAATATTAGCTACTTTTTAATGGAAACTCCTTGTGTGAGGGACTCTTTTGTTTTTAATTTTTGTATTCTCAGGGTCTTGCATAGTGCCAGGTACATAATAGGCCCTTAATAAATGCTTGTGGAATTGACCCAGAGCCAGTCATTAGAAAGGAGAATATATTTTGTTTTGTTTTTAAATGATGTATCTAGGAGGGACCATAATCTATTCCAGACCTTTCATTTTATAGACGAACCTAAAGCTCAGAGAGGGGAAGTTCACATTCAAAGTCACACAGTAAATTAGTGGTAGACAGAACTGCAGATCAGGACCCCTGGTGCTAAGGTGCTCATTCTACTGCATCACACCATATTTCCCCATAACATGCAATGATTCTAAGACCAAAAAAACAAATATTGTTGATTCATCTTCTGCATTGTATTATCTTTTTAAATAAATTAATATTTTTAAAATATAAACAATCATCAACAAACATGAGCATTTCCACATACACGGGACAGAAAAAGAAACTTGCAAAGCTTGCATGTGAAACAGAGAGTCTATCTTACACAGCCTGTTGTCTAGGGGTATTTTTTAAAAGAAATATACATCAAATTTATCATGCTAGTACCAACATTGCCCTTATTGTCTGTGTCCCTTTCTGAACTTCCTTCTGCTCTCTTCTGTGTATTTTGAAAACATTCCATTGTTCTTTTAATTCTTTTCTTCTTTCTTTTCCTGTCACTGTCACTGCCTCCTTAATCCCCCCACAACATTCACCACCTTCCCAAATAAAAGCCCTCCCTTGTAACAAGTCAAGAGAAATAAGCTTGGTTTTTATTGATCTTGTCTGAAAATGTTTGCTTGGGGCAGCTAGGTGGTTCAGGAGATAGAGCACCAGCCCTGGAGTCAAGAAGACCTGAGTTCAAATTTGACCTCAGACACTTACTACTCGTGTGCCCCTGGGCACTTACTGCGATTGCCTCCCCCCCCCCCAAAAAAAAATGCATGTCTCATTCTGTACCTCTACTTAATCACCTCTCTTCCAAGACATAAGGAGCTTCATTGTCAGCCTTTTGGAGTCATGACTGGTTGTTGAATTCATTCATTAACCAGAGTGCTCAAGTCTTTTAAAACTACTGTCCTTTATAATGGTGTAATCAGTGTAATAAGTTGTTCTCCTGGTTCTACACATGTCTTAACTCTGCATTACTTTGTGTAAGTCTTCCCAGGTTTCTCTGAATCTGTTACTTTTGACATTTCTTATGATGCAACAATATTCCCTTGCATTGGCATAACATCATTTGTTTAGCCATTCCCCAATTGATGGGTACCTCCTTTTTTCTTTGCTATAATAAAAAGTACTGCTATAAGTATTTTTGCACATATGGGCCCTTTCTTCCTTTCTTTGATCTTTTGGGGGCAAAAAAGTGATGGTATTGGTGGGTCAAAAGGCATACAAGTTTAGTGACTTTTAGGGTATAGTTCTAATTTTCTTTCCAGAATGGTTGGACCACTTTTCAGCTCTACCAGCAACATTACTGTGCCCCTCCTTATTGGAAAAGGAAATGGCAAAACATTCTACTGTCTTTGCTGAGAAACCCCAAAAGGGGTCGCAAAGAGTCGGACATGACTAAAAATGACTAAACAGCAACTTTTCGCATCCCCTCCAACAATTGTCATTTTCCTTTTTTGTCATCTTTGCTAAAGCCAATCTGATAGGTATGAAGTGGGATCTTGTAGTAAATTTGCATTTCTCTTACTGTTATGGATTTGGAGCATTTTTTTTCATATAACCATTGATAGCTTGGCTTTCTTCTCTTTAAAATCCTCTATTATTATTATTTTTTTTAACTATTTTTCTATTGGGGAATGGATCTTGTTCTCATGTGTTTCTATCAACTCCCTATATATCTTGGAAATCAGACCTTTACCAAAGAAAATCACCACCAAGTTTTC